TATCCACTTCAATGTGCTTAGTTCGGTCATGTTGGACTAGGTTATGGGCAATGTTAATTGCTGCCTGGTTATCACAGTATAGCATCATAGGTTCTTCTGCTTGTACACCAATTTCTTCTAACAGGGAACGGATCTAGAGAAGTTCTGAAACTCCATGTGCCATGGCCCTGTATTTGGCTTCAACACTTGATCTTGCCACCATTGTTTGTTTCTTAATCTTCCATGAGACAAGGTTACCCCCAACAAGGGTGCACACTCCTGAAGTTGATCTCCTGTCATCAAGGCATCCTGCCCAATTTGCATCTGTATAAGCCTCTAGTTTCAACTGTCCATGACCAGTAAACAATATGCCTCTGCCCGAGTGTCCCTCCATATAAGCAAGAATCCTGTCAACTGCCTCCCAATGCTGGACTCGTGGAGCATGCATGTATTGACTTACTAGACTTACTGTATAGGAAATGTCTGGTCTTGTCATACACAAGTATAGCAGCCGACCCACAAGTCTCTGATATCTCCCAATGTCCTTTACTAGTTCACCTTCTGATGTATTGATTTTATGGTTCTGATCAATAGGGGTGTTGATTGCCTTTGTTCCAAGCTTCCCCGTCTCTTGAAGAAGATCCAAAACATACTTCCTTTGAGAGATAAAAATTCTATGTTTTGATCTTGCAACTTCAATGCCTATGAAATATCTCAGTTCTCTAAGATCCTTAATTTCAAATTCTTTATGTAGGTCCTATTCAGACCATCAATCTCACTCAAATCATTCCCAGTGATAACAATATCATCCACTAAACAATTAGGACTGCCACCAAAGATCCCCTTCACTTCACAAACAAGGTGTGATCATATTGAGTCTGAGTGTAGCCAAAAGCAATCAAGGCCTTTCTGAATCTGTCAAACCATGCTCTAGGAGATTGTTTCAAGCCATAAAGTGACTTCTTAAGCCTGCATACCTTTCCCTTTTCAATATCATTGTAAAATCCAACAAGAAGATCCATATACACTTCTTCTTGCAGATCCCCATTTAAAAAAGCATTCTTCACATCAAGTTGAAACAAGGACCAAGAGTATGAGGCAGCAAGAGAAAGAAGTATCCGAATAGAGGTCATCTTTGCAACTGGTGCAAATGTCTCTAAGTAATCAATGCCATAGATCTATGTGTACCCTTTTGCAACAAGTCTTGCCTTGTACCTTTTTATACTTCCATCTGCCTTGTATTTTACTGTGAAAACCCATCTGCATCCAACTGTCTCCTTGCCTTCTGGTAGATCCACAATGTCCCATGTCTGATTCTTAATCAAAGTTGCCATCTCTTCCTACATGGTTGTCTTCCACTCAGGTTTGGAGAAAGCCTCACTAACACCCTTGGTATAGACACTGAATCAAGAGAAGAAAGAAAACATTGTACCTGGTTCAAAACTGCTACTCTAATTAACCGTTACCTCCATTTTATCTTTCCTTTTTTGGACTTCAACAAGCATTTTTGACAAGATCACCACCTTAAAGGATACATAATGCTGGTAGTCACTACCTTAGCCCAATCAAGCATATTATATTTCATAAGAGAAGGAGCAAACCTATCCTATGCCAAATCTAAAGTTTAACCCAAAATAGAGTAAATTTACAACTCTTAATGGGTTTTTATTGGTAAATTATACATGGAGTTTAGAATACATTACCCCTCCCCCATTCAAACATGACAACTAATCAGACAATTTTATCTGAGTTTGAGTGAAAGAACGAAAGAGATGGTCCATGTTGTATATCAAGACTGCTTATACTCAAACTTGGATTGTCCATAATAATAAAATGAAGAGGAACTTAACAAAGAATAGCAATAATTCTAGTGAATAAGATCGATAACGACAAAAAAAGAGATTAACATCGAAACTAAGAGAATGGTAGTTATACTACAAACTCAGTTAAACAAACACAAATCAACCAAGAAAGCAAATATCAAAACCTTACCTGAACAACTTAAAGAACAAACTAAGATACAACCTTGAAAAAATACTCTCTAAGGCTGAAATTTAATGTGAGAATTTTAACTAATAATTAGTAAAACAAATCAGTCATAGTAAGCTACCAATAACCAAACAACCTAACATCTGGATACCACAAATCATGAATTAGCACACACTTATCAAACAATGTAAGATAATTAACAACTTAATCAAATAAACAAAAATTATATAAGTAACTATCACAAAACAAAATAATACTAAAAGAAAGCTTCATCAATATAAATCAAATTCAGTTTAGTGGACTTCCCTATAGCTAGCTGCCAATTAGGAATACTTTAAATTTTGGCTAGGAATTGCATTGAACACATTAAAGTCCATTAATAGACTGCAATCCTGGTGAACTCCATCTCTCCACTCTCAATCAGCGATTAATAGATCTTATAACAACTCACTCAAAGAAAGGTGAAATACAAATAAAAAAAGAAACAATTGAACCATAAAATACATCATAAAGAAGCAATATGGACCCAACACATACCACCATGAATTAACTTGGTGGATTTCGAAGAAGTCCCGGACAAGAAATCCTCTCTCTCGATAAGCTCAATGCAAAGTCCCCTCAACACGACATCCAATGCTACTCCACACCCTGTTACGCCATCACTGACAACAAGAACAACAAGAGGATTAATAGAGATGGCTACCATCAAAGAAAATTCTTGGACTTCCTACGAAGGTACAACAACGTCCATCTCATTGATCTTCTTCTTAATATAGATGGCTACCATCAAAGAAAATTCTTGGACTTCCCACAAAAGGTACAACAACGTCCATCTCATTGATTTTCTTCTGAATGTTTGTTGATATCCACGGTCATTCATTCATAGGCAGAGTTGGGTCCCAAAGACTTAGTGCACTGTAAGCTCCAATGGCGGCTACTATAGTAGTGTCAAAGCTCTTCAATTAAGCAGGTGTAGCCATAAAGGCAAATTCTTCAGATTTTCAAGTTTGCATCTATAGGAAATTCATAGTATGAGTGGTTTAAGAGGAGCACATTAACGATGCTGGTTGTGGTTTTAGGAGTTTTGTCACCTACCTCTTCTCCTCTTTCCCATCATCACCTAGTCTCAAAGGTAAAGTAAAATTTGGTGAAAAACAATGAGAAGACTACAATAAGCCTAAAGAAGAGAAACCAATCTAAGGAGCTCCAAGCACAAATTTTCATGATCTAATTATTGGAAACCTTGCCCCTTGCAACATCGTTACATGTTAGGGATTAATGGGGTTCCAATTTAGGGCTGGAGTTGCACCAACGACTAGGGCTGCAACTTGAGAGAGAGAGAGAGAGAGAGCACCTCTAGTGGATCCGACAATGGCAATATGCATCAGCAGCAGCTTGGAGGGGCAAATCTATTCAAAACAGAGAAAGGGTGAAAACAGAAAGTGTAAAACACTTTCTCCAATATGTTTCTTAAATAATTAAACCAAAATTCCAATTGAACCGGTTAGACCCAATTTACCCCCCAAAACTGCTGCCTTGCTTTTTATTTTCTTTAGTTCAAACTTCTATCGGCGGGTCTGAAAGATCACCGCCTTAGACACACCTGAACCAGCGATATCAAATACCGCCGCATTGCCCAGTTTTCTTGTAATGTAGGTTGTTCAGCTTACTAAGCATGATTATGCTTGCAGCCCACGTTGTGTTTGGTTGATGCCCTTGCCATTGGGCTTAGGCAGTTAGGCTTACATCTTACCTAGACCAGGCCTATATACTAGTCCAAAGTCGCCAGACACACTATTAGTGAGTTCACATCCGTTGCCACCATAGTTGCAGCATTTTTCTTGTGACCCTCCAATAAAATATATACATAATGCCCAATGGAGATCTTGCCCATACTTTAATGGAGGTCGCATGAAAATGCTGCAATGGTTGCAGAAACAATTGTGAATACTATAGTAGTTTAGAATGCTTAGCTTCTAGTCTAGGCTTTGGGTGTAATGGAAGGAGATTCCCTAGTGGGTTTAGGAATTAAATGGTTTGTATGTAAAGTATCACCATGCCTAGAGGCAAGCATGATCACCAACCTGGCTAGCTAGGGCCTTTAAATCATTCTTAGTTGTTCATTTGTTTGTTTGACCACAGTGCTTCAACCTTGTTTCTTGCTTCAGAACTAATATTTATTTTTCCATTCCAGCTCTATATATGAAACCAGACCTTAAGCCCAGATAAATTACTATTGGAAACAAAAAGATCCAAAAGAGTAAGAACATAATGACGTTGATCAGCAATAGATGTAAAGGAGGAGAGGATTCGACACCCACCAAATTTTGGCGTCGTTGTCGGGGATTGGTGTCCTTAATAAGATTTATTTCCTTTTGATTAGTTTATACCTCGTTCTTCTCGTGTAGGTGAACTCCAATACGATCCCAAGATCGAAAACACAGTTCCCCGGTTAAGGAAGGAAGCCAAGCAACGTCGCAACCAATCGGCATCGCTCCCATCTCCTGGGGTGAAGTCGGCAGCAGACCTCGTCGAGTCATCTAACAGCTCTGAAGAAGAAGTCATGGCCAACATCGACAAAAGAACTCTTAGAGAGCTAACTGCATCGGATCTGAGTCAACATCGACTAAAGAACTCTTGTTAACCTAGTAATGAGGTCTTTAGTCGATGTTGGCCATGACTTCTTCTTCAGAGTTGTTAGATGACTCGACGAGGTCTGTTGTCGAATTCACCCCAGGAGATGGGAGCGGTGCCGATTGGATACGACGTTGCTTAGCTTCTTTCCTCAACCAGCGAACTGTGTTTTCGATCTTGGGATCGTATTGGAGTTCACCCACACGAGGAGGCATAAACCAAGCAAAAGGAAATAAATCTTATTTAGGACACCAATCCCCGACAACGACGCCAAAATTTGGTGGGTGTCGAATCCAACCAAAAATAAAAGTCCTGCTCGGATTAAATATTTTTGTATATAGTGATGAGCAAGGTCGCCTCCATAGGGATTGGGTTGATTTATATCCAAGAAAACGAAATAGAGGGTTGTTATAAAAATAAGGAAAATAAAATAAAATAAAGTAAAGATAAATTCGATAGAGGGCAGCATCCGGTTGAAAGGATAAGTTCAACCTTGATTCTTACAATTAATCATCGATGCAAAAATGAATTCAAGTGCTTATGAGTAAATTGGTTATAGCTACTAACAAGCTTTAATAGTCAATCTGTACTTGTATTTTCGGCAATCAAAACAAGCTCTTTGATTGCTTCTCTTATTAATAGACAGCCCTAAACAAGCTCTTAGGGTTTAATCTATTAATAGCATTAAGAATTAGAGAGACCCAATTCTGGTCAGCGAACACACAAGCTCGGTTCGTTTAAACCAAATTATATATCTTCATAACATGAACCGAAAACTTGTCCATAATCGGTTTATGTTATTTGCCACAAAGATTAAATCTAACAAACATATACAAATTTGATGATCTAATCGGCAATAGGTTATTTTATCGATTGAACAATGGATCCTGTTGCTCAATCAAAAAAATAATCTTAAACAAGAAATCGCAGAAAATATATAAATATTCATAAACAATGAACTGAAATAAAATCAATTAGATCTTACAATTTTGTAAAACCAAGACTTACTTAACCTTCAACCAGAAAATAAAAGCTAATCGAACTTCATGGAGAGATCGCAGCTTCCAAATGAGGAGGACATCTTCTACTTCCTTCCTTCTTTTTCTTCTTGCTTGATTGAGTGATTCTCGATTGCTAGTCCACCCCCCTTTATATAGCCTTAGGGGGAGGGGTTGTTTCCAATACCTCTTAGGAGTTCTTTCTCAAAATAGAAAGTCCAATTTCTTAATGGGATAATGCTTAATTCAGATCTAATCTTATCCTTATCTCTAAATAGAAATTCTTAACTAAGATGGACTTCGACTTTCTTTCTTGTTTTTCTTCTCTTCTTTTCTTTTCTCTCCGCTTCCCCAGGAGAAGCCTACAAAATCTCCTAAAATTTCTCTCTAGATAATAGTCTTCAAGTCTGACTTATCAAGAAAAATATTAAAAATAAGATAAAACAAAGTTCTAATGCAAGTGGGAGAGTGGTAATTTCCGCATATGAAAACTTGTAGGTTAAAGAACGTTTCCAGCACGTTAGCAGTGCGGTTGTAGCTACTTCAGACCCGATTTCAACTTCGATGCAGTCAGTATCTATCAAAACTCAAAACATGAAAGTTGTGGAGCTTTTCCTTATCGTTCCAACGCATCTTGAATCATCTCAATCGGAGTTCGGATGAGAAAATTATGCCCAAATTACGACGCGGTGCCGAAACTGTCCAGAATTGCCCGATTAGCTTCGTTTTTCACTTAATGCCTCCATTTGTGCCCTCCAACTCAATCGAATCCTACTAAGATTGATGGGGCTCACTTCTTGTATGCTGAAATCGTATTGGTCTTCTTCCAACGTGTTGGGGCTTTGCTACAAGCTCCTTTCAGCTCGCTTTCCCAAATTGCTATTTTCTAAATGAAACACAATATAATCCATTAATTAGCTTACTAATTAAATAAGAAAAAATACAAATAATATGGAAATTACGCACACTATCAAATCCTTCTATTTCGTTTTCTTGGAAATAAATCAGCCCAATCCCTGTGGAGACGACCTTGCTCATCACTATATACAAAAATATTTAATCCGAGCACGACTTTTATTTTTGGTTGGATTCGACACCCACCAGTTTTACCTTAGCATTTACAGGAGATTAGATCTGTTGGCACCTTGCTTCAACGAAGTGGTGGTGGCTGTCAGGTAACAGGAGTACCACATGCTTCAATGCAACGGCAGTAGCATCACGGTGGTGGCATCTACCAGTGAAAGGTGGGGAACTAGAGCCGAGAAGGAAAGGGAAACAGTGTGTGTAGGAAGAGGGAGGAGAAGAGGAAGGTGTTTTGTTCAAAGAGCCCCTTTAGCTTTTAAGTTATGATTTCCTAAAACATAAAAATAATAAACGATATTCTCACATGATTAAGAGGATCAAACATGTGGAATAAACAGCCGTTAAAATGGTTAAACATCCATCAAATGCAGCTACTCCTAATTCAAAGGATAGAGAGTGGACAAATGCACAAAGTTTGTGCACAGCTAGCGGTGAGTAACAGAGGAAGGAAGATTGGGAGATAATATATTAATCCAAAAGACAAAAACAAAGAAAGAACCTACAAGTTTATTGTTCACTAACCTCATAAAGAGACAGAGAGAAAGGCTTCAAACAGAACCTTCTTCATGGATTCAACTGAGAATGGGTAGTTAGAGAGCAGAGAGTATAGTGTAGAAGCACGGGGAAATGAGAAATAGTGGCGATCAACTAGTTGTTGCATAGCAAATGAAAAGAGAATGAAAGATGTTGCCTCCCTGTCAATAGGGATGGACACAAACCAAGCTTTTCATGAGCTATTCGAGCTTGGATCATGAAAAGCTCAACTCCACTCGGTTTAAACGGTGCTTTGAGCCAAGCACAAGCCCAATATGTAGGCGCATTTGCTAATCAAGCCATGCTTAAGCCTAATGAAGCTTTGACTCATGAGGCTCGCGAGTCTAATCGAGCTTATATTATATAATAATAACTTTAAATTTTTTTATATATCATAGCAAATATTTTTTATATGTATAATAAGAAATAATTTATATATATATAATTTTTTATTTTTATATGAAGCTTGTCTCACTATCGAGCTCAAGCTGAGCCAAGCTCAAACATACAAGCTTTTTAGTTAAGCTGAATTAGAACTCATGTCTCTAACTCAAGTCGAACTCAAGCCCAAACTCGAGCCTGATTTGTTTTGCCAAGCCAAGCTCGAATAGTCAGATATTCAGCTTGGATCAGCTCAAATCCATCCTTACATGCAAATATAACAAATAATGTAACCAAAAACAGTTCAGTAGGGATGTGAACGGGTCAGATTCAATATGGGTTCCCCCCTCACCCTAATCCGACCCTCTACCACTTTCACCAAAACCTGATCCATAGTCTTTCAATTCTATCCTTTACAGCACATTTTCTAAACATAATAACATTATTGGAATTTCCCAATTCAGTTGATGGCTCCAAGTCCAAGGCCTCACTTCATCCAATGCAAAGAAAGAAAAACTAAAACAAATATGAAAAGAAAAAACTAAAAATTTTGCCGTGTTTGGTTTGAAAGAAAAGGTAGGGAAATATATACCAGACTAGCAGTTTTCCCTACCTTCTCTTTCTAACCAAACGCAATCTTAAAGTTATTGGTTAGAAACAATGTTTAGAGAACCGTACCGAGCATAAAAGGGATACTGGGAGAGGTTCACATTCACAGATCAAAGGTCCAATTGGGGTCAAATCGGATATAAAACCATGATGACGTAATAAGTAATACAAACAACATTTCAAACCTTCAATGTTTAGTTCAACAAAATTAACTATGTATACTTTATTTCAATATCTAACTAAAATTAAGAAAAGAATCTTAGCAATCACACAAGTATTCAATAATCTGAATTCAATAATTAAAAATTTATAATGGCATTCTACAAACAATTTTAAACTTTGTCATTCAACAATTTTAGAATTAGAACATATATACAATCAATTTTAAAAGTTGCACTTGCATACAAACAATTTTAAATTTTAAAAGCTGCATACAAATAATTTTTAAATGGCATTCTACAAACAATTTTAGATTTGTTTTATCCAAATCTAAACCGAAACTTTAACACAAACAATTTTAAATTTTTAAGACCACAGTTTGTTGTTGAACATCCCATATTTCTCCGAATTAGATATTAATGATTTTAAAATTAAAAAACACAAAACAGAGAATAATGGGTGAAAAAATGGTGTTGCCGCCACTAACCTTTAGTGAGATACCCAAGCTAGCCTCCACGAATGGAAAGAGTAGCCTCTTTACACTGCAACGAGTGAGACACAGAAGCCCAGGGTAACCGCTGACCTTCACTTGGCGTGGATATCGCAAGCTTGGGTGGTTAAACAGGGCATTTGACGGTGGAGACACAATAACGGAATGGGAAAAGGAGGAGAAGGAGGAGGAGAAGGAGGAGGAGAAAGAGGAGGGAGAGAAGGAGAGATGACCCACAGCTCGCAGGTTACCGTGAGGACAGACAATAAGGTGAGACACAGAAGACCGAAGAAGAAGAAGAAGAAGAAGAAGGGAGAGAGAAGTTTATCAAAAAAAGAAAAGAAGGGAGAGAGAAAGAGAACAGTGGCGACGGCGGTTTCGAGTTTTAGAACATGGAAAGAAGACAAAGTGAAAACTGAAAAAATGAGGGTTTTGTACTTTGGGCTTTAGAAGTTTTAGGGTCCGTTTGGTTAAGGTCGGGATAGGAATCGGAATGGAATCGAAATCGAAATCGAAATCTCTTAAAATCAGAATTGGAAACGCTTATTCCTAATGCCTGTTTTGTATTATTATTGTTATATTATTTTTACATTATTGTTAATTTACTAATAAAATAACATATTATTGTCTTGTTATTATTTTATCAATATTTTTATTACAAGTTTGTTAATATTGTACTATTATTTTATTAGTATTTAATAATTGATATTTAGTATATTATTATTATTATTATTATTATTATTAGGGATTGAGTTTTTTTTATTTGTTAGGAGTTCTTTACCTAAGAAACTTTGGAATAGGAATCCCATGTCTGCCCCACAACGCCCTATAACACATCCTCACCGTGTATTGGGAACATTCCTGATGATGGTACTAGTCGGAGATGTTCTCAATACAAAGCGGGGATGTGCTATGGGGTGTTGTGGGGCAGCTCCTTGTGGGGCAGAGATATGATCTCGTCAAAGGGGGGCTTGAAATGGCCATTCCCCCATACAGGGTGAGGGGAATCCCATTCCACCAAGAATGAAAATCGGAATGCCATTTTAGGGTATGACCAAACCAACCAGGGGATCAGTCATGGTTCAACCGACCCAACCATCCAATACAGTCTGGTTTTCTAAACATTGATTAGAAATCAATATTGGCAATAATATGTTATAGGAGCATGGTTTTGAAAACCAAACCAGAAACTGAACCACTTTGACCACAATTCTAGGGTCAAATGGGTTCAACCATCTGGTCCAAACCTCGATTGGATGGTTTTGGGATCCGAAACCAAAACCAAAGCCATGATCCATTCCTGGGTCAACCAGTGCAGCCATCTAATCCGGTCCAATTTTCAAAACCATGTATATGAGCTTCATGATCTGATGGGTTTGGGATTATGAAATCTGAACCCAATTCAGGTTGGGGCATCTAAACCCTAACCCACACTACACCTAAATAAACCTGATCCCAATCCACCAGGTTTACCGTTTTAACCACCCGACCCATCTCGTGTTATTTTTCATGGGAGATGTTCTCAATACACGGTCGAATGTGACTGTGAGATCGGTGTAAGGAGCAAATCCCAATTCCCAACTGACCCACCACACAAACATCAACAAACAACCAGGCAATCTCATCACGTATTCATATATACATTCAACTTATAATTTTATAAATGAAAGTTGTGAACAATTAAACTTCGAAAAGAAAAAAAAAAAAAGGCTATGAACAAGCTCTCTCTCTCTCTCTATCACAGACACATACTTTTTGTTTGAATTAGTTTCAGTGGCATCACGCAGAAGTCTGTTCTCTTATTTGCCCTGGGAAGACAGAGAGGAATCAATCCATGGTCCCTCCATCGACATGCTCTTCTGCATCTGACCTTCATGAGATGTGATTGAGATGTATGATTGGCTGTCATGGGAGAGCTTCTCAAAGGCCTTAAATCTCAACTCTTCATCTGCTGAGCGCCGCTTGACGAGTGGAGCTTGGATGGCAATTTTACCTTCTATCATGCTTACTACGGCAGACATGGCTGGCCTGAGGGTAGGAGATGGATTGGTGCATAAGAGAGCCAAATTGAGCATTCTTAATGCCTCTTCTTTAGAATAGTTTGATTCAAGGATGGGATCAACAAGCTCCAAGAGATTCCCCTGCTCTTCTAACACATATGTCTGTAGTTCCATAAAAGAAGACGCTATATTTTAATCTCATCAAAATTTTCAAACCATCAAAGTGCATATGAATTTGTTAGTCTGATGCTATACTGGTAGATATATGTGCATAACCAATTAACAAGCAACAGTTTCCAAGTTCTAGGTTCTTGACTAGTAAAAATAAATTGCTCCATGAAGAACTGCAAAATGCTCAGCTTACCCAATCAAGAAGATAAACGAAATCCTCCTTTGGCCTATAACTTGTGTTGCTCTTTCCGCTGACTATCTCTAACAACACAACTCCAAAGCTGTAAACGTCTGCTTTGTCAGTCAAATAACCCCTCATAGCATATTCTGGAGCCATATATCCTCTACGGGAGAAAAAAAGGAAGTGTGTCATATTATTGCAAACTTAATCCAGATAAAGATGTCTGAATCTTAGACACAACAATTCCTCGACCCTGCATAGTCAAAAGTTTGCAACTTGCCCCTAGGAGAGATTTGCTTAAGCAACAAGCTACTGAGATCAGTGATTTGGTTTGTTCCACCCAATTGGTCAGTTTAGCAAAGTTCTCCAAGCTAGCCTATATATTGTTTCTTTCTTAACATGTGCAAGTTCTTTGTTTCTTTTTACTCTCGTTGTCCTACTGACATTTTAAAACTGATTATGTAAATATATTATTAAGTTGCAAACTTTCTTTGTTCATCTTTCAATAAAAGGATTGATGTTCTTCTAGAGGCACTCATCTATTTCTAATCCTGTTTCTTGAGATAATACATTAATACTATATGGATGGAAAAACACCTCTTGGTATGTAGGACTGCTTGCTCTGATGYCAACTGATATAGGACTTAAATGATCAAGAGATGAGTTTAAATTTGTCAAGTTTCAATTAGGGAAAATAGGTCTAGGGTTACCAAGTTTGGCATGGTCCAGAATACATCTTGGACAAAAGGATGGAAATTGTAGGATTGGGAGTCAAATAAAAAAAAGTAAGGAATATAGGGTTCTAGGTAGAATTTTGGGATGATATTTAGAGAAATGAAAGGGTGTAAGGATATATGGGGGCATCCAAATATGTGAGGGATTGAAGTTTGTTTGGCTCACTCACCTAGATCATTTCCAGTCCTTAGGGAATGTTGAATGATCATCTTTTGATGAGAAACTTCTAGCTGTTTATGGATTTAAAGATTTSTTGAAAGATTAAGAAAGAAAATGGAGGGAGAAAGGAGAGCTAAAGTTCATAATCACTTAATGAGGTACCTAGAATCACTCTAGGGCATAGTTCTCAAGGCGACGCCTAGCCAACAAGGCGCCCATTGAGGCTCGCCTTGCCTAATCACCAAGCAGTTTTTTACTTCCTAATATAAAATACTTTTTTATTCATTCTTTTTTGAGATTATAATTATAAAATAGACATAATTAAACTAAAATAATCATTCTTGTGTTTATATACTAATTTCTTTTTATTATTTTCTCATTTATTAGGGTTTAATCAACACAAACATTGCTAAATGTTGTATTGAACCCTCAAAGGCTTCAGAACCCGAACCAATAAGTAAGGAAGAACTTAAAATTTTATCTAGTCAGAACATTTTATTCTTCCATATATTCTTTAGAACCTGAACCAATAATCATTACTTTTTCTTTTCTTCTTTTCCTATAACAAAAATAAGGGTTCATCCCCTATGTTTTTTGAATTTTATTTTCCTTCTTCTTTTTCTTCTCATGAATATGTTGACTTTCTATACTTTAATATGAACTTTATACTTTTCTTATGAAAATTATGAATAATTATTAAGGAAATATGGTTATGGTACCTAAGAAACTACCATAGGATCTATGTTCCCAACATAAAAAAAAAAAATCCACTGCCTAGGAAACTAGGCGACAAGGCGCCCCCTGTCACCTAGCCTCGCCTTGGTGCCTTGAAAACTATGCTCTAGGGCATGAGAACCACTCACCACAAATAACATAAGCCTTATGATCTCAAACAATCTTCATATCAGATCCACACTTTTGCAATTTAGGCATATATATAGACATTATAGGGGTAGCAAATCCTACTAGAACTAGGAAAAACTGAAATTAAATAGTTGCCACTAATAAGAAAACTAAATAACTTCTAAACTACTTAACCATTAATTCTGAAATTTTAAATACATTATTGGTCTATTTTCTAGGCCAATAGGTGAAGGAGATTTATTAAGGGCTGAGTTCTTGGCTATGATGGAATGAGTGCAAAGAGCAAAGGAAATGAACATCAGTAAATTGATTATAGAAGGAGATTCAAAGCTGGTGGTGGGATGACTGCAAAAGGAAGAATCTGGACTGTGGACTTATATAAAGGAAAGGAAGAATCTGGAGCTTGTAGCATAGCCCCAACACGTTGGAAGAAGACCAATACGATTTCAGCATACAAGAAGTGGGCCCCATCAATCCTAGTAGGATTCGGCTGAGTTGGAGGGCACAAATGGAGACGTTAAGTGAAAACGAAGCTAATCGGGCAATTCTGGACAATTTCGACACCGCATCGTAATTTGGGCATAACTCTTTTATCCGAACTCCGATTAAGATGATTCAAGATGCGGAACGATAAGGAAAAGCTCTACAACTTTCATGTTTTGAGTTTTGATAGATACTGATTGCATCGAAGTTGAAATCAGGTCCGAAGTAGCTACAATCGCACTGCTAACGTGTTGGAAACATTCTTTAACCTACAAGTTTTCATATGCGGAAATCACCACTCTCCCACTTGCATTAGAACTTTGTTTTATCTTATTTTTCTTGATAAGTAAGACTTGGAGACTATTATCTAAAGAGAAATTTTAGGAGATTTTGTAGGCTTCTTTTGGGGAAGTGGAGAGAAAAGAAAAGAAGTGAAGAAAAACAAGAAAGAAAGTCAAAGTCCATCTTAATTAAGAATTTCTATTTAGAAATAAGGATAAGATTAGATTTGAATTAAGCATTATCCCATTAGGAAATTGGACTTTCTATTTTGAGAAAGAACTCCTAAGAGGTATTGGAAACAACCCCCCCCCCCCTTTAAGGCTATATAAAGGGGGGTGGACTAGCAATCAGAAATCACTCAATCAAGCAAAGAAGAAATGAAGAAAGGAAGCAGAAGACGTCCTCTTCATCTGGAAGTTGCGATCTCTCCATGAATTTCGATTAGCTTTTATTTTTTGGTTGAAGGTTAAGGAAGTCTTGGTTCTACAAAGATTTTATTTCAATTCATTGTTTATGAGTATTTATATATTTTCTGCGATTTATTGTTTAAGATTATTTTATTGATTGAGCAACAGGATCCATTGTTCAAACAATAAAATAACCTATTGTCGATTAGATTATCAAATTCGTATATGTTTGTTAGATTTAATCTTTGTGGYAAATAACATAAACCGATTATGGACAAGTTTTCGGTTCATGTTATGAAGATATATAATCTGGTTTAAACGAACCAAGCTTGTGTGTTCGCTGACCAGAATTGGGTCTCTCAATTTCTTAATGTTGTTAATAGATTAAACCCTAAGAGTTTGTTTAGGGTTGTCTATTAATAAGAGAAACAATCAAAGAGCTTGTTTTGGTTGCCGAAAATACAAGTAGAGATTGACTATTAGAGTTTGTTAGTAGCTATAACCAATTTACTCATAAGCACTTGAATTCATCTTTGCATCGATGATCAATTGTAAGAATCAAGGTTGAACTTATCCCTTCAATCGGATGCTGCCTTTTATCGAATTTACCTTTATTTTATTTTCCTTATCTTTATAACAACCCTCTATTTCGTTTTCTTAGAAATAAATCAACCCAACCCCTGTGGAGACGACCTTGCTCATCACTATATACAAAAATATTTAATCCGAGCAAGACTTTTATTTTTGGTTGATGAAGGCTTGAAGATTTGAATTCTGATTCAAATTGCATGAAGGTAACTGATATATATATATATTTTTTTTAAGTTCATTCTGTGTTTGGTTTCTTGGAGTGATTCCTCTTTTGCTTTTTGGTTGTTCAGATCAAAACTTGTGTGTCATGGAGGCATTCTTCAGCTTTTCAGTTTATAGAAATTGATTATTGGTTCATCTTTGGAAACTTCATTCTTTCATCACTTCAGGATTTTGTTAATTACTGATTTTGATTTTCCAAAGCTGTGTTTGGATGGAGGGAATGTTAGGGCTGAGATGAAACTGGTTGCCCCAATTCTACGTTTGCTTTTTTGGAAGATATAAATTTTATGTCATACTCATTCTTTTATCCAAATACAGTCTTAGTTTTTCATTTCAAAATTCAAATCAAGGTCCTTGTTGAATACTAATTTCTATGTGATTGGTTTCAAAATCATTAACATGAATTCTGCCCATAAAAATCAACCCCTCCCCCCTCATTTCGCATCTCATGCCTTGATTTTGGCTCACCGTTGATTGAAACCACCAAAACTCAAACTTCCCATATACTTTTCGGAGAAAGCTTTGGCCGTCCACGTTCAATAGCCTGAGCTGTCAACAGGGCTCTCTTCACATTGTTCGATAAACTACGTGTCATACAGAGTGAGCCTTGTTGACAGCACACACTGTCAAATTTTAGACAGCCCGAGTTTTCTCTGTTTAGCTATAGAATTAATCCACATTACACCTTGTAGAATGAGGCAACCCAATACCATTACTGGTTTAATTCAATTGAGTTGTTCTCAAAGCCAAAAGCCAAAACCCAATACCGAGTTAGAGGCTCTCAGCTTTATATAAGCTGATCTCGTAAGTAAGCGAGCCAAGATGCTTGGCTCATTCTGCTGTAATCTTTTAATTATCTTTGAATCGGTAGGTTCAAAGAGGTAAAAGGAAAACTCATTATTGGACCCCGGCATTCTACAATATGAATTTTTTTTTTTTTCATTTGTTTTTGGATTTGTCACATCAGCAAAAAAACCACAAAAATATGGTCTTGAATTCTGTTTTTTTTTTAAAGGCAAAAATAAGTTGGTTTTGATATAGAAATTATATTATTTATGGAACACGATGTTGAATATTTAGATGAAAATATGAATTTGAAACCAGATTCAAGAATATGTTTTTGGTTTCAGTTTTGAAACAAAAAACATGTTTTATGTGTTTTTATTTGAAGAACAATCTGTTTTCACACAAGATGATTTTGATTTGTTTCTAGGACTGACAACATGAAAAACAATTCACATTGTATGCCCCCTTAGCATTCCATCGATGCATGGTCTGTGCCTCCGACTCTCTGCTGGTCTTTCTTCCTTCTCTCTCGTTAAAAGCTCAGGAAAACAATAGAAGGCTACATGGTTTTGAAATTTGCCATTAATCTTCCGCTTCTCAAAAACCTTTTTTTTTTAGTATTTTTAATACA